ACAGAGATTTGGGGAAGACTGACAGACACAAAGGTAGCAGCATCCTATGAGTGTTAGACTCATTGGTGATGGCTGCATTATGACTCCTGAGCCCTAAGCACTGTTGTTAGGTGGGGCCTTTATTTTTCCATAAAAATATTAAAAAATCATATTTTATGACCCTGTTGCTACAAAGGCAAATATAATCCAGGCTAAATTAAAATAGTTTCTTCTACCCTAAAAAGTTTCATTTTTTCTTCTAATTTTTAAAAGGAGAGTAAAACATTTTTCATGGGGCCCCTACAGTCCATTGCCGGCCCTGGCCCCTGTGCCCACTGTGGGGGGGTACATCGAGCCCGGACCAGGGCACTCTGCAGTGACATTGAGAAAAGGGAACTTGGACGTGCTCTGGAGAAGCAGGCAAAACTTTCCTGCCAAACCAAGAAAGCCTGGGGAAGCCATGGTTAATAAAGTCGCTGAAGATCAGGGTAACCTCCAGTTCACTTCCCCTTTGAACTACAGTGCTTGGTTTTTCTACTTTGCTTTTACAAACCCACTCTTCTTGCCAATAAAGCAGAAGGAAAAGAGCCAGGGATGGATCCTAAAAGAAAGGAGGGTAAAGGAATGACGAAGACAGAGTGGAAAGGTGAGCAACAGAGGTGGAGGGGCCCAGGGGAACAAACCCTGATTGGTCGCCCAATTTTCCTCTTGCAGAGCTTCCTTAGATGTGGTGAAGGACAGGCCATATGAGGCTAATATAATTTAATTCACCAAGTTTTCACCATAAATTTCTCAATTTTAAAATAAAAGTAAAGATATTCCCTGCTTTGTTAATGAAAAATTATACAGCTATATCTGTAGTAGTAGTAATTTTAAATATTGGCATTTATTGGGAAGGACACCTAATACCTATTTTACCTGATTTTCTGTAAGGTGACGCATAAGAGGTAACTGAGAATAAGTGAAAACCACGAGATAAAATGATTTTTCTGAAGGCCTTCACTGGGCTGTTTTCCCATTCTCCAACCTTGCATTCCTCATTTTGGACTGCAAAGAACCCTTCTTTATATCTATACTAGAGGCCCGGTGCACAAAAATTTGTGCACTCGGGGGGAAGGGGGGGTCCCTCAGCCCGGCCTGTGCCCTCTCGCAGTCTGGGACCCCTCGGGAGATAACGACCTGCTGGCTTAGGCCTGCTCCCGGGTGGCAGAGGGCAGGCCCAATCCCTAGGTGCAGCCCCTGGTCGGGCTCAGAGCAGGGCTGATTGGGGAGTTGGGGCGCCGCCCCCTGTCATGCACAGAGCAGGGCGGATTGGGAGGTTGCGATGCCACCATCAGTCACACTCAGGGTAGGGCTGATTGGGGGGTTGGGGCACCGCCCCCTATCACACTCAAGGCAGGGTCAATGGGGAGGTTGGGGCGCTGTCCCCTGTGATGCACAGATCAGGGCCCATCAGGGGGTTGGGGAGCTCCTCCCTGTCACGCACAGAGTAGGGCCGATAGGGGAGTTAGGGCACCGCCCCCTGTCACACAGAGCAGGGCCAATCAGGGGGTTGGGGCGCCACCACTGTCACACTCAGGGCAGGGCCGATGGGGAGGTTATGGCTCTACCCCATCACACACACAGCAGGGCCTGTGGGGGGGGGGGTTGGGGCGCCACCCCCCTGTCACACACAGAGCAGGGCTTGATCAGGGGGTTGGGACGCCACACCCTGTCACACACAGAGCCCCAGGGCCGATCAGGGGGGTTTGGGCGCTGCCCCCTGTCATGCTGATCTGGTGCCAGGAGCCTTGCGGCTCCGCTGATCCCGGTGCTGGGAGGCATATTACCCTTTTTACTATATAGGATAGAGGCCTGGGGGCCGGCTGGTTTGCCCTGAAGGGTGTCCTGGATCAGGGTGGGGGTCCCCACTGGGGTGCCTGGCCAGGCTGGGTGAGGGGCTGAGGGCTGTTTGCAGCTGGTCACACACCCTTCAGGGTGGGGGTCCCCACTGGGGTGCCTGGCCAGTCTGGGTGAGGGGCTGAGGGCTGCTTTCAGGCTGGCGGTTTTGACTGCTTTCAGGCTGGCGGGAAGCTCCCAACCACTCCTTTTTTTCTTTTTTTTTTTTTCTTCTGGGCCAGCTTTAGCTCTGGCTCTAGCTCTGAGGCTTCCGCTGCTGGTTTGTTTGCCGTTCTATAATCGAAACAATGTATAACTTCAGCTCTGAGATCCCAGCCGGCTATATTTGTTAGA